CCGGTGCCTGCTGCTGGCTCCCATCCGTTCCCATGCGAGGTTCTAGGGTCAGCCGGATGCCTTCCCAGATCACCCGTTGTGCACCACGGCTGGCTCTGTGCTACCCCGTTGAGGTCATTATAAAAGGGGCAGGATGACGGTGAGTTCCCAGGGGCCCGGTTCTGGTCCCTGGCTTTGCAGTTGTCGATCCTGAGCCACTTAATCCGGTCCCTGCACTGGTCACCGGTCTGGAAAATGTCCAGTGCTGCTATCTTCTTCGCGGGCGGCTGGTAGGCATGGTCATTCCTGGTACTCCCCCGAAAACTGAATGTCTTGCTCGCCTCACACCGATATCTGCCCATGCTCCCGCGGGCAGGAAGCAGCGGGTTTGGCAAAGGGTTTCTTCCGGTCGGTGGCCACTGCAAGCGCAGGAGACGGGTCACTGTGTCTGCAGCTCAGCAGCCAGAACAAAATGGCTGGGTTGAACGCAGAGCTGTGCTTGACCAAAGCAGATTGTGCCGTTTCCCGGGAGTCGACTGGTGACTCATGGGATCGAGAGAACAAAGAACAAGCCAGTGGGATAGTGTTGGCGGACTCCCAGGACCCAAATCTGGTGTGGCTGTGTCTACACTGCACAATGATAGGGCTTGAACCCTGGGCCCCGGTTGGACTTGGGCTCGGGTCCTCCACCCCGCTGTAGTTCTAGGACCCTGGGTTCGAGCCTGAGTCTGAGACATTTGTGTGTAGCCAGAACAGGGGTTAGGGCTTGAGCCTGGGGGTACATTGTAGACATACCCAGGCAGACAATACAAAGGCCTGGTGGTCAGGGCCGGCTCTGGCTTCTTGGCCGCCCCACGCAAAAAAAAAAAACAACAACCCGGGGCGGCCAGAAGGGAAAAAAAAAAAAAAAAAAAAAAACCTGTGCAGGGGGAGGGAGAGAGAGAGAAGGAGGGCGGCCAGGGCTTCAGTGGGGCGCTGCCACGCAGCCCCTCCCGCCCCGCTCTGCGCCGCTCCGGTCGGCTGGGAGGGAAGGTCGCAGGCTGTCCTGCCGGGCTTGCTGCAGGGCGCTCCCGTCCTCCGCGCCGCCGCCCCCTACAGGGCGGCCAGAGCGGAACAAAACAAAAAACAAAAAAAAAAGCGGCCGTGCCGCCCTAGGATTGGGCAGAATGCCACCTCGGTCAATCTGCCGCCCCAAGCAC